TTAAGCCAACATGAAATGTGGATGCACCTACACATCAGTCACATGTGAAACATGAATGCACCTGACAGATCAGTCACGCTGGGTAGAACATGGTGTCAGCAAAGCAAGCATCTACAGTTAAGAAATGTGTTGCCTCCACAGGTTGTTCAGAAGAGAAAGACAGCAGAAGAGCTACAAAATTTTTGCAAAAGAGAAGACCTGTAGGAGAACAAGGAAAGCTTTTATTTCCTCCAGAAGGCTTACCACCAATAAGAGAAAAGGAACAACCCAGGATAACCTTCAGAGAAGCGCAAGAGTGAGAAAGTGGCCTTAATGAAGGGCATCATACACAAAAGCAGCTTGGTTACCACTGCCAACAATTCCTTCAAAACAAAGAGCCGCTTCCCCTCCAAAAGGTACTGACTGTTCTGCACACTCTGCCAGGGAACAGGGGAGGTAGGCAGCAGGCAGAAGTTACTGTCTGGGGCCTTTTGAGACACCCAGTCACCTCACAACCTCTGCTGCTGATCAATACTGATGACTGCCACTACAGAAACGTTCTCCTGCTTTCAGGTACGTGCTGTTGTAAGGCTCATAGTTCGATGTTACCACCCTGAGAACTCAGTGTTTCCAGTTTTACTAACGAATATGCAACAACATAGGTTTTCTGTGAACTAACCTGCAACAGCTGCATCTAGTTCATCTTCTTCCACGGACTCCTGCGTAAGAAGGTCTGCCAGAGGAGAGAGCGGGTAACAAGTGTTGAGGTTCAATCCCAGCATGAAGTTGTGTACTTTCCCAGCACGCCCTTCCCTGGTGTTGAAAAGGGCACTATCACCCACCAAAGCCATCAGCATTCGCTGTACCCAGCTTTCTTGGCTGCTGTTCTGATATTCTTGATTTCCCTCAGCATTTTCAGTGCCTGTAGAGGAAAATGAAAATAACGAATGGTGAGACAGTTAATGTATAAAGTATAAAACCAAGATTTCTGGGTCTGCTAAAATAAAGGACCTCTTAAAGTAAAAGGAACTGGGTCACAGCCTTCTTTCAAGGAATCATGGACTGAATGAAGGAGCTTTGCGGCAAGAACTTCAGAGGAACAGAGAGAAACCATCCTCTTAACTTCAGAGGCCAGCGAAACTTCTCATCTGAAGTATAGTAGTGTGGAAGTGCCCATCAGGAAAATAGATTTGGAACGTGTTAGGCGACCTGAGCCAGACTTAGTCTAGATGGAAAGGGCAATGAGGATATGGTTTTATCTGTGCTACCACCCAGAATGCAAACTCTCCTGGGCTCAGCGGACAGACTTGAATCACCAAGATCCATATTCTATGTAGACCTAAATACGTCTGGATGCATATTGATACCCTTCTCCATCCTTTGCTGATTGCTAGAAACCCAACTTTCCTTAAGAAGGCAAAGTTAGTCTGCATAACAGAGAATGCTATAGCATGGGAATTCTAAAATACCTCAAAATATCCTTACAGTAAGCTGTAGACTACAATCAAGATCTGGTTTGAATTAACTAAAGACTAGAATGAAACGTCCAGACTTAGACGTCTATAGCTAGATGTCGCAGTAAAAATTACTTGGATTGGCATCACCTTGCATTTCTAAGCTGTCAAAACTTGACTTTTTGGGGTGGTTTGTATCAGAAGATAATTCAGGCTCAGGCTTGATACTTTAAATCCAGCACTGAAATGCGTCTCTTTAATCCAGGCCTTAAAGGAGTTGATTTTTATATAAGTAGAGAGAAAACAAGCACCAAACACCACAAAGTTTACAGGTCCAACATCTGTACAATAATACTCTACAGAAACCAGAGAGATTACCAAACGTTTACAAATCACAGATTTGTATGTTGTCCACTATGGCTAGAAACTATGAGAGAAATGTAGTGTTTCATGCTGGCTATAGTGCTTAAACAGGAAATCCACACATAAACACAAAATGTGGTATCACTCTCTCCCTATTATTTTACACATAAGGGGAACCAAAAAAGTAATAATTTTACTGAGCTAATGACATAATTCACTGTCGCACTGCACAAGATTTTCTTTTCTTCCTGTAGATCCTAAAATGACAAAGAGCTGCATTCTCATCTTTTCTTTAGTTGTTAAAAACACAATCCACTTCTTCAGGTGAAAATCACTGTTGTTCCCAACAGTATCATTAATTAGGATGAGATAGAGACCCCGACTAAAATCACAGAAATCTCCAGGTGGTTTTCAAGATAATTTTCAACAGGATCTTCTCTTCCCACCGCCCAATGTTCCCCATGTGGTTGTGCCTCTTCTGGGAAACTGGATTTGGGCATTGTTTAAAACATTGTGCCAAGCACTAGGAATTTCTTGTATCAGATGTCATTTGTCAAGGTGCTAGAAGACATCTATGAATGCTGGAAACACAAATTAAACTATTCTCAGGTAAATATTTCATCAAGGAACCCTTGAAAACAATGGACAGTGTTACTTTGCTGGGCTGGTAACAATTCGAACATGCTTCTGAGCTCAGTAGCTTGCTGGCAACAGATGTCTGGAGATCACTGGCTCAGTAAGCCTGATTTTTGGGTGTATGTGAAATTGCAGACCTCTGTGAAGCCCTGTTGGGCTGACTTCAAGACTGAAGATGTGTGAGATAATCATTTGATCATCAGCTTGAGATGGAAGTCAAAGCAAGTCAAAGGCCCTCCTGAGGTCTCTTGTTCAACATTGCTTTATTTTGTTGAGCCACTGGCTCCTTTAAGATCCTTGGGCTAGGCAATTAACTTTTACCATTGGTATAAACGAAAGCAGAGCTCTCAGTTATAAGAAATTAAGGAAAACCGGCTGTGGATAATTACCAACATCACAAACTTGATCATGCTACAGGAAAGCTGATGAAACAAGTAAACTATGAAATAAAATGTGAGGATTTCCTTACCTTTTGGATGCTGTGATTCATCTTCACTGTCTGAACTGTCATTGCTTACAAGGTGCTTTAGCCTAATATTTTCTGTTGAAAGAAATATAAAATTACTTTAAACTGTTAGGGTTTAATTGTCAGAACAGCTAAGAATTTCAAATAATTTCAACATAATTTGAGTCATAAAACTATCATAGTCTTCATAATAGAAAATACAGCTAAAGAGATTTGATCTGCTGTGGACATCTGATCAGAATATACTGGCTTTAGCCTGCAATTTTTGCAAAGCTCCTGTGCTAAGCAGAGTAGCCAACACAATGAGAAAACAAAATGTAATCCTAAAGCAGTGCCTACCACTCACCTCTGCAACACGTATCTAACACATTTCATTCCCCTTGGTTAAAACTGAGATGTAAAATTTAGTTTCTGTTCTCTCAATAAATCGTAGTGAACTAGGAAGACAATGTTAATTTCTGTTAATTACCCACTAATTTAAAGAAAAAGAGGAATACTTAACCTCATTCATACATATATGAATGGGTACCCTTAAAAATAGCCGGGGAAAAAGAAAAGCTAAGATGGTTATGAAAGTTCTACTGGAGTATGTGTGAAAAATAAAGGCGAATGCAGTTACACAGGTAGAATCACACAGAATCACAGAATTGATTTGGTTAGAAGAGGCTTCTGGGAACATCGAGTCCAACCTTTGCCTGAACACCACCATATCAACTAGACCATGGCACTAAATGCCATGTCCAGTCTTTCCTTAAACACCTCCAGGGATGGTGACCCCACCACCTCCCTGGGCAGCCCATTCCAATGCCTAAATGGAAAAGACAATGGTTTTCATCTCATAACATTAAGCGAGAGAAATAAAAACAGAAATGCACTCATTTGGCATCTCTGGCAAAAATCTGCATTTTGTTAGGGTTAACAGCTTTGATTCCAAAACAATCACAAAGTAATTGATAACTGTTCATTACTATCTCAAGGTATTATTTCAAAGTCAAAATGAATACTGAAAGAGCAACACATTCTACTCCCCAGGTAAGGTTTGTAGTGGAGGTGAATTCATGCGAGAATGGACTATAGGTTGACATTATTTTCACTAATGATGGAGGGAAATCTTTCTTGAAATACAGTAGATTTGCAATGTTTCATGACCAGCCTCATCTTGGATGCTTATATCCTACAGAAACGGTAGACAGAGACTGAATTCCAGTGATGCAAATGTATCCAAGAGAAGAGTTTTGAAAACTAAAACCCTTTACTCCCTAGTATAATGTACGCTAGGAATCAACTCTAATTGAAATTTGAAGCCAGTTAAAATAAACTGAACGAAGGTTGTTTCCTAATGAACTTGAACACATTATCAACTAATTGCTTTTTCCATTAAAAACCAAAAATAAAATAACATCTACTTTTTCTCACAGAAAGATAATGTAGACGTTGGTCTCTGGTGGCATACCCCTGCTTTGGGCTGTAAATTCCAACAAATACTGCAATTTCTACCAAATGCAGTATGAAAACAATGGCAATTACACTTTGCACTTTTTGCTTGAGTCTAAATCTAATTCTTATAAGCACACTTGGCTGAAAGAGAAGATTGAAGAGAGAGTCACTGTAATATCAAGTGTGACAAAACCACAGCTTTACTCATTTACTCAGTAATGAATACTGGATACAGATGACCACCACCGTTGCTTTTTTTCTAAAGAGGATTATGTCCTCTTAGACTTACATACAACACTGTAAAAATCCCCACAGAAACAGAAGCGCTTCTTCATCATGTATTTTTCCCTAAATACTTTTTCTTTTTAATACTTAGTGGATCCTCAATCACTACTCAAATACCGTCAATGGACAAACACGCACCAAAGACAAACACGTACAAATTCTTGAGTGATGACATAGGAGACAGGTCAAAATAAAAATTAGTGACCAAAAAAGGAAGCTAACAAAAACAACAAATGCAATTTTTGGACATCAAATCAACTCTTTAGAGCAACTCCTATGCAAAATTCATTATTTACTGCTCTAGATGTGATTTACACATGCTGTGCACAACACTGGCTCTTCTGATGTCTGCTGACATTTTGCCGTTCACTTTGGTGGTACCAAGGTTTCACTGGGACATCTTTGGCTCTGGTAATAGATTGTGGTTCAAGTCACATTAGTATTTTCACATCTAATCCCACTTCAAAGCGTATTTTTTAAGTTATATGTGAAATGAGCCACAGATGAAACATAACGTTCTGTCTCTAAGCATCTTAAAAAGCAGTAACACAGACCTTTGCACTATCAAATTTATTGACAGAGATCCTTCATTAGTGAGTGTTAACACTCTTGAGGTGTATCAGAAATATAAACTTGGAGGCACAGGTCTCATTTTCATCCACAAATAACTACATTATCAAACTGCTGAATACCATCTATTAGGAGACAGAGACAGCTAAAGGGCTTGGGGATTTTTTGTTGGTTTTTCTTTAAATCAACTCCACCTGTATTTTCTCTCCACACTCTTCAGAAAAATCTGGCCGTTGAGTATAATTTATTTATTGGTTATATATTTCCCTGTAATGGTGTCTTCTGAATAGGAAAAAAAGTGTAAAAATACCTTTCATTATCAACTGCCTTCTCGAATAAATCACTATAAAGTCTATCCAAACCAAGCCACAACTCTTTCCTTACAGTCGTTATGCCATTTGTACATTAAGAATGAAACTGAAATCATGAAATTAGTAAGCAAACGATCAGATATCAACAGGTGACTTGTGGTTAGAATGGAACAATCTAACAACCCAGAGATGATAAAATTAGGTTTTACTTTACCAATCCCTTGAATAATACAGTCCAGTGTCAAGAGACTACACAAGTAACTATACAGTATTACTATACAGTAATATTACTATACAGTAATTTGTCAGCTTCTGATCTCCAAAACCTAGCATAACAACATAAAAAAGGGAGCTGGATTCTTTTAACTTCACAAAAATAGTTGGATATATGCATGTGACTTTCAGTACCTCTGATACTGATCAGAAACAAAAGTGAACGAAAGAAAAGAAAATAACTAACCCTTTTTCCCTGATCTCATCAGCATCTAGCAATGGTAGCAATTAAAGTTACTTTAATTCCACATTCTTGAAATGACTACGAGCAGAGTGTCATCCTTCCACAGAATGAGAGTACACTGAACCTTGCTAGTAATTGTTTTGCATAGTAGAAGAATTATTTACTAATATTACCTAATTCTTCTTCCATGGTGGGACCTTTATTTTGAGAATTGGAGACTCCAAGCACTCTGTTAAATAATATAGAAAACGCACTGCCCCAGACACCTGAAAGGGAAAACATAAACAATGAATGGAGGCTGGTGGAAGGAAAAAAAACATATACTGCACTATTTGAGTTGTTGCTTGCTCTGTGAACGCACCTCTGATTTTGGAATATGCTAATTCATAAGCTCAGATGTACAGATGTACATACCAGAAACAAAAAAACAGGGAATGCCAATCCACGTCCGTGAAATCTTTCACATGGATGTCTTCCAACAAATTGAGTACTCTTACTTCTTGTATCACACTTTGTGTGATTGAACTGAAAAGCCCTTGTCCATGAACTACTGAAATTAGTTTTATTTTAAAGTCTCTTTCTGCCACCTACTCACCCATCAAGAAATGCAAGGGATTTTCACTATACTTCTTCACCACTGTCCCCATAAAAAATTTGCTTCCAAACAAATCAGGAGACATAAAAGTGCCATATTTTGCCATACCAATCTCATATGGACTGAATTCCACCCAGTCTGCAAAATAAGAAACAAAATTGTGCTTAGTTAGCAATCTCAACCTGAATAAAAACAGAGGATGAATATATATAAATGAATAAAACCTCTGTCCAAGCAAAGAAATTTTAGTTAAATGGGAAGCTAAATAACCAACAGGAGTATCTCCTAGGTTGGGCAGATGTCAAAACTTTGGTTACAAATGAAGGACAGTCTAATGTCACTGCAGAGAGGGAACTGTCATTCTCATTCTCACTTATCACAACAATCTTTGGTGAAAAAATACGAAGTTGTAACAACAGAAGTATAAAAGCAATAACAAATGAGAAAAAAAAAATGACATCTGGTTTTCATCTTGTGCTTCAGTATGATTCCCTGTCACATGAAATGCAACGTGGCTCTAAGTTCCAAGTTTCTCTTCTTTCACTGGGATCCTACCAAAAATGTGGAAGGCAGTGACAAAGGCAGCCGAAAAACTATTTAGTATCATGAAAGTTGTGAAATATTCTAGGAGAGGCATTTGGATTCCACCAAAACCTAAAGTTTCTAGTGAAATCCATGATGAAAAGGTAAAGCTGAGAGGCAGCTGAGAAACTTATTAATACCAAGCAATGTCAAAGGTATTTTTAAAAGTATGTGCCATTTTATTGAATAGAGAGCTCAACGAAAACATGAATAAAATGTTCAAATACATTTTCTGATCTTAGCAGAAAATTTCAGAAGTGACTTGCATTCTATGATGTATGCTTTCTTTGAAAATGGATTTTAGCTGATTTTGAAATACTTCCTTTGATACCAGTGGAGCTGCTTACATCAGAGAATTAATTTCAAAAAGGGAACAATAACAAACAAAAAAATATCTGAAATTTTTAATATTCACCCAGTGATCTATTCTATCTTCCATATTTTTAGTAGTGATTGATTTGACTGCCTCTGTAAACAAATTAGAAAAAATTCTGAAATCAAATGACAAAAGAAACAGCTTTGAAAAATCCCCACAAGTCATAGGATGCCATCCATTCCTCAAGATATTCAGGATTTCTGTTGAAATCCTAAGCATAAAGTTAACTACTTGGCCTGAAAAGAAAAGATTTAATCATGACTGCTGAGAGTTTTGTTTCATGGGGCAATGCTTATCTATGCTAAGTCAAATACAACATCCGATTTTCCAAATAAACCACCCACAAATCTTCACATTTATTGGAGCACAAGGAAATTCCTTTGAAGACCCAGTCCAGGAATCCAACGGTATTTCCCTTTAGATATATAAACAGGAATTGGCAGATATGTATTCAGAACTATGTTGACAGTGAAATTGAATTTAGAATTAGAATTAATTTAATCTGTGATAGTCCACTTTCATTTTGTACTTGCACTGAAGATGATTTCTCAAATCTGGTCTCAGTGTGTAAGTACAGTCCATGCAGATATATGCCCAATCCTGAATCAGCCAAACACTTAATGTTGGCAAAATATTACCTCCCTATCTTCCCTCCTCAGAACAGGAAAAATCCGTTGCATCTTCAGCTGGTATGAAGCAGTGTAGAGTTATGATCTAACATCAGAGCCACATCCAAAAGGCAGTGACCACAGCTGAGAGGTTTGACTTTAGTACATTTTGGATTAAGCCACAGCCAAGAAACTAGCCTGGTTTACTGGGATATAAACACTAAATATTTCTCTTGGTATAGAGTTCTTGTCTCTTGGGACATTTAAGTCCTGCTGTTAGGGGCTGGAAGTACACAAACCAAAGCAAAACATTGAATTCCGCTCCCCTCTGTAACACTGGATATCAGTATCTTCAGGTAATTTCTTATCATTAAAGAAGCTACAGTAATTTTTTTTATATATAAAAAAAAAGCTGTCTTTAACTAAATCACTGTAATTATGTTCAGTTAAAACGATTACTGCAGTTTTTGGCATGGTTGGCGCCGCCTGGGTCAGAAATGCTATTGGTAGGGAAAACATGCAGAGCCTGGGGCATGAAATCTTGCACCATCACTCCCGGAAGGAATGTCATCTGATATAATTAATGCATTTCAACTTGCAACAACATGAAAGATCTCGCCTACATCTATAATCTAGTAAATAAGAAAGTGTCAATATTTCTGTTCAAAACTTACTATATATTTCACATCAAGAATAGCTGCTCAGTTCTAAAAGGAGAAAAAAAGCTTACAATAGAAATGATCAAGATCTAGCATCCTATATAATGATACAGATGATAGTCTCAAAAAAGCAAAACCAAGATCCATTGGCAGAGGCAATACCTTTTTTAGACCAATTGGTAAGGGTAGAGAAACTAGACCAGCCTTCAGGTGCTTCTGGTCTTGCTTAGACAAGGCCAGTATTAACTAAAGACAATTTTGGTTTTAAAATGTTAAATAAGTAACTCAAATAATATTTCTCAGAAAACAGAAGCTCATCAAAAAACAAAATATTTTTGTTTTCAAATAAAAAGGTTTCCATTTCCTAAGGAGGAAAGTAGACATTCTCCCATGAAAAATTTAAGTTAATTTACAACCTCATTTTCCATTACGAACTAAGTTTTGACAGCAACTTTTCCAAAGAATCTTTTTAGGAAATGTGGATACAATGTCTGATTTCTACCTTGGGCAAGCCACTTGGTCTTTCCCTTCTCAGTCTTATTAATAACTATATGGATACACATAGCCTTTTATTTGTACGGTATCTAGCACAATGGGCCCCACTCTCAATTAGGGCTACTAGATGGGATTAAAACCTATGGAATAAATAAAAGTAAAAGCCCCTTCTGTGTTACCAACAGTACCTTACATTGTGCAAGAAATACAAAAGAGGTAGTATATCTAATTTGTTCATTCAATTTTAATTTCACTCTTCTTAGAAAGAGGAATAATCCTGTATCACTGAAGACATTTCCCTGTACCCGTTTGATATACTAATGTTAAGTAGCTTTCTGCTGTTGGCGAAACACCAGCTTTCTTTTTGTCTTGACTCTTGCAACGTACTTAGCTACTTCAGGGATAAGCAATATTATTTTTAATTCGTAGGAAATTTTTTTTGGTAACATATACAGAATAAAACTTGGCCATCACTTAACATTTCATAGAAACCAAAAGAGGCTGTTATGGTGTCAGAATTATTTTCAGGTTGAAAAAAAACACAAAACCAGTTACAAAATGGTCTAAAAATCGAGTGCGCCCTCAGTAAGTTTGCAGACGACACCAAGCTGCGTGGGAGTGTTGATCTGCTTGAGGGCAGGAAGGCTCTACAGAGGGATCTGGACAGGCTGGATCGATGGGCTGAGATCAACTGTGTGAGATTCAACAAGACCAAGTGCCGAGTCCTGCACCTGGGTCACAATAACCACACGCAATGCTACAGGCTTGGGGACGAG